TATTATGATAAATTTATTTAGGAATTAAATGAATTTTATTAATGATTAATAATTTGATTCATTAATTGCTCTTTTTTTCTTTCTCCTTCTCTTTTTATTACTATTTCAATTTTGATTTATATCTTCATCATTATCACTATCATCATTACCATCTTCTTCATTATTATTTTCATACATTATCATTATTTAGTTCTAAAAAATTATGTAAGATGATTGCACATTCAGTAATTTTTACAACAGTAAAAATATCTCTAACATTTAATTCTTTTAAAGTAATAAATCTGTTTTTTAATTTTCCAAATGCATTTTCAACTACTACTCTATGTAAAGAATGAATTATATTAAATTGAATTTGTGAAGGATTTTGAGAATTTACAAAAGGTTTAATTAAAAAAGTAGATATAGAATATGCCGAGTCTCCAAGTAAATATTCTTCTCCTTTAATAATTTTAGAAATATTTCAATAAAAATATGAATTTTATAAACTTTAGCATCATGAACTGAGCTAGACCATCCAATTTCATAATCTATAAATATACCTCTGTAATTTACAATTCCTTGCAATTGTATAGAATATTTTTTTTTTCTGTTCCAATATGTTTCAGATTACTTTAATGATGCATTTTCTAATACAATGTGACTTCCATCTATTGCACCTATAATATCTTCTATTTCACCAATATTTTTAAATCCTTCATGTATATTCTGCTTGACTTCACTTGTTGATCATTTAACTAAAGTTTTTTTAAAGAAAAAATCGCAATCATTACTCTTTTACAGTATAAATAAATAGGACCCCGCCTACTACTAAGATATGTTACTAGTAAAAATTTCACTTTCATATGAAACCTTACCTTAGAATTTGCTTAAATTTTATTGGTTAATTGACTAAAAAGGAAAAAAATCATAACAATGTAATATAAAATTTCTTTTTATAGTAAGATCTTCAAAGAGTTTTATATGTAAACCTTACTTTAGGCCATAGGGTGACCTATCTTAATAGTAGGCGGGATCCTAAATAAACAGTTCCTTCTGCAATTCCAAATCTTGAACATAATCCAAATATATTTTCTTTAGAATCAATTCTTTTCAAAAAAATTGCAAGTTGTAATTTAACAGGAGCTTATGAATGATTACTATTATTTTGAAAAATTGGATGAGTAATTAATAGGGAAACAATCTTTTGAAAATTTATAGAGTTCATTCTAATGATTTTTTTAAATCTACAGTCTTCATATTTTGGTAAAATATAGTTATATCAATCTTTTGATTTTGCTACATGATAAGATCTTTGCTCTAAATATCTTATTTCGAGTAATGAGGTTAGTCCAAGCATTACCAAATCATCATCTTCTTCTTCACTTGAATCACCTTCTTTCTCAAATAAATCTTCATTTTCCATATCTTGACAAGCTGTAATAACATAAAAAGGGTTACAGTACGAATTCCCGAAGGCCGAAATCCCGAATGGACGTTTTCCCGAAAACTTGGGCGGAGTTATCGTAATGCTGGCTAAGTTTTCGGGAAAATGTCCATTCAGGATTTCGGCCTTCGGGATAATGTCTGACAAGGCATAAAAAGATAATAATTCCCTTATTTTCTTGTGTTTAGACATTTTAACTGCTGTAAATTTTAATTATACTTTATAAAAATAAAAGTAATGACTATGCGACAACTTTTGTATTCATAGATTAATCAATATATACGATCAAGCATTTCAATTATGAACATTGATTGTAAAATTTAATGTAATCTGATTAAAAATGCTGATCGAACAATTATGAACTGGCCTAATGTAATATAAAATTTTCTTTTATAATAGAATCTGCAAAGAATTTTATATATGATTTTTACTTTAAATCTGAAAGTGATCTATCTTATAAGTAAGCAAGATTCTAGTCTGATATAATATATTTCAGTATTATATAGTGTATTGTCAAATTACCATAGGTTAATTCATTATCATGTATATTTAAACATATTATTTTATTAGTAAATAGTAAATAAAAGAAGACAAAAATAAGTTTTTGATAATTCTCCTTATACTCTAAGAAAAAAAACCACTCCATTAAATGCATCTTGATGAATGAGATCTGAATACAAAAGATTAATATATGTTATTGATTATAATCAGAAAGTTAAAAAATATAGAGAAAATGATGATGATAATATTAGATACCATTCAAGAAAAAAATTAAAATTGGTTAAAAAGATCCATAATATTAAATAAAATTCTTTTAAAAATTTCATTTTATTTTAACAGTTAATATGTTTTATATATTAGCCATATAGAATATTTTAGACTATTATTAATAATATTGTAATAATTTAACAAATATTTTACTAATTTTGCATTTAATTTATAATAAATTGAAATTAATTAATTATGTGTATTTAAATCTGATATAATAAATTGATAAATTAAGTAGCAATTTAAAATTAATTAAAAGTAGAATTCCTTAAAATCAAATCAAATATAAACCTAATTTGAATTTTATTAAATTGATCAATTAAATTAAGAATTTTTAAATCAAATCAAATCAAATTCAAATCAAATTAAATTAAGCTAATTTGAATTTGATAAATTCAAATCAAATTCAAATCAAATGTCAAATATCAAATCAAGTTGTAGAATCCTACTTGAAAGCATATACTGATTCTATATATTAATTTTTTTTTACAATCAAAAATAATTTATTAATCCTTTTTTTTTATATATGATCTAATATTCAAATTTACTAATAAGCTAATAACAGAAGATAATTTCATTACTTTTTAATAAATTATATGTATATATTGATACAATTAATTAAAATGATATTAATTAATAAGTTACAAAATAAGAAAAATAAATGGTTAATCTAACAAGTAAATAAAAAAAACTGGATAATAATAAGATCAATCCTATTAATATCCAATTGTAAATGAATAGGTATCCTATTAATAACCTATTGATAACCTTACCTTACATGATTAATACCATTTTATAGTTGCCAATTAAACACTCTGCAAAAATAAATATCAACTAGATCTTTTTAGAATAGCCTAGATGGTCCTTAATTTAGCAGCTTTCAACCTGTGATAATGAAAAAATCATGAAAAATAAAAAGATAAAATAATAAATATAATTTAATGGCAATATTTTTTTGCACATAAAGTAATCTGAAAGCTAAAAAAACAGGAAAAAACTAGGACCCCGGATATCTAATATAAAGGTCATAATGGACTTTTGGCCAAAAACACCCCTTTTTGCTGAAATTCAAAAAATCGTTTTTTGTAAATATCTCAGCATCCAGTAATTCAATTTTAATGAACTTTTTTTTATTTTGTAGCCCTCATTTAGCTCTACAATTTAAAAAAATGTTCATCAAAATTGGACTATTGGATGCCGAGATATTTACAAAAAACGATTTTTTGAGCCTCTGAAAAATGGGCCAATCTGCCGAAAGTGTGACTTATGACCTGTTTTGGAGATATCCGGGGTCCTAAAAAACTAATCAAAAATCAAAAATACATTTAAAAATAATAAATCAAGAATAATACAAGAAATATATAAAATGTTTAATGAAATATTTGATATTGATGATATTATGATTTTAATAATCTTGATATTAAAATGAGTGAGATAAATAGGACTCTAAAAAATGCTTATATATGTAAAGTACTAAGATACTTAGCCAACGTAGAAAAATTTTATAATGTAAGAATTTTATAATACTTAATTTTGAGAAAATTTTATACTATATAAGATAATTAAATTGCATATTTTTGATATTATTTTAAAATACTAGGAGTTTTTAGTTGCTTAATTTTCATATTTATAGAACTCCTTAAAATATTATATATTGAATTTATAATTAATTTTTATTTTATTTTCACTACTGATAATTTTACTTTCAATTAATTTTGTATTACATTTCACAATTTTACATAAATACATAAATAAAAAATTTTTTTTGACAAAATTTCAGTTTTTTTTAATGTTTTATTAATTTTCTTTCAATAGTATTTTTTATTAAATTTTATTAAACTCAATATACTATTTTTAATACAAAATTATTATATTATATATGTTTATTTTATTAAATAAAATTACTGTAAATATGTTTTACTTTAAAATATTATTTCACCACTTACCATTTTGGTTGAATCTGAATTGATTCAATTTGACTGAATCTTTTGCAGAACACAATCTAATAGTAGTTATTTCATTTTAAATAGATAGAGATATTCAATTTTAGGTTAGATTAGATCAGGTTGATTATTTAACCTAGCCTAAATTTTTTAAAACAGGTTTCAGATTATTTAATTTGAGCTGATTTGTTTAAAACTCTAAGTAAAATGCAGTCAAAAAAATTTACTATAATATTATAATAATGTTATTAACTACTAGTTTAGTACTTTAAAAAAATAATTTTATAATTAAAATTATTAAAAAATTATCTATAAAATAAAAAAATTTATATAAAATATATTTTATTTTAAAATTTTATTTTAATATAATAATTAAAAAAATTTATATAATTTAGCTGTCTAATATATAAGTGTTTTCAACCTCATGTGCTAGATATGCGCACACTATACAGTAAATACTGATAAGTGATAATAATAATAATAAAATCAGTTTCATTTATATTATATATTAAAAACCTCATTAAAATAATTGCATAAAAAGGTTCAGAAACATAAATCCAAACAATACGTATCACACATATATCTTACTAAGATTTAATGAAACAATATAGTATTATCTAATTTGAATTCTCTAAATCAAATTAATCAAATTAAGAGAATTTTTTTAACCAAAAATGCTTACATCAATGAAAAAAGAGAATTAACAGTCACATCCGATTATAATTCGCTTCAGACTCATTATGTTGTGTATTCCAATTTTCTTTAATTAGAATGGCATCTATTCGTTTTTGTTGTGGAAATTTAATTTTGATTCTAAGGTTTCAATGCGAAACTGAATGTTAATGATTTGATTATCCCAAATTGATCTAAATCTCAACATTTTGAATGATCATTGGTAGTTTTTCTTTAATTTCCAGGATTTTGGCGTATTTTTCAATAGTTTGTTGCTGTTTATCTGACATCTGTCGTGATTTAGGCTTATTATTCTTGTTCATTAAATATTCCCATAATCGTTGGGCTGGACGTATAAATTTATGAATTAAATAAAATACTAAAGTACCGAAAATACTGGCAGTTAATAAACGATTAACTAACGAATTAGAATCTGCATTTTTTGTTGGTACATTTTTTGTTAGTGCTGTTCCTACATTTGGCGTTGGTGTTGTACCCGTTGGATAATCGTGGCGTTGGTATAGTACCCACATTTGTTAATATATCTTCAGATTCATAAAATTCCTCGTCTTCATAATTAATTTCTGGTATTGAATAACTTTTTTGATGGGATTCTTCGATCTCATTTAGAACGCGTTTAATAAAGTTTTCTCTAGATCGTACATTTTCTGTTGGCGCTGTACCTTCAGTTGGTGTTACATTAGTTGTTCTATCTATGTTAATTTTTGGATAAGATACCGCTTCTTTTCCAATCAAGTTTAAAAATTCTTTCCCTTTCTTAAATAGGAGTCCTGAAAAGGTATGGTATTCGAGATTCAAATTTAGAGGAAGTTTAGATAAAGTATATACAAAAGCACCGCAAGCAATAAATAATGGGATTTATAACCGTCGAATCATCTTTGGAAGTGACAGCATTATTCCCAGTTCTGATGACAATTTGTCTACTATTTAATGTATTTGTTGTATCTGATGTCAAATTTATTTCGATGTTACTAAATTTTCAAAAAATTCTCGATAATCTTCTTTCAATTACTTTGTAATTTCGTGTCTTTCCTATGCTGCACCCAACAAAGAAGATAAAGTTTCAAGAATTACTCCGACACTTGTATTTTCCTCAGAAAGTAATTTTATATATTTATCAATGTCCTCAGCATACGTTGAAAGTCTCAAAGATTCCAGAGCTCTTCTATCAGTTATAGAATTAAACAAACGACTAAATTCTTCAATTTTATCTTTTATATGAAGTTTAATGTTTAATTTTCTACATCTGTTAAAAATTTTCTTTTCGTTCGACAGGAGATGGAAAGTTTGGATTTCGCAATAATTTCAAATCTATCGTAATCATTTTGAAAAATTATATTTGAATGAAAGAAACGAAAGAAGAATTAATATTTATAGATGTATATAAATTGTCAGCACCCTTTTTTAAAAAAAGAGGAGCATTTTTGTTTTGGGGTTACTATAAATAAAATCACGTGTTAATGGTTGGATCCAGTTTCGGCTTAGTTAAAGAAAAACCGATTTTATTAATATAATTAAAATGTATAATTAACAATCTTCAATCAATCTGAAATGAATTCGTGAAAAAAAATTTCAAATTTTATCTTTAACGTGTGTGCCATATTAAACGGAAAAAAAACATTTATAAAGTTTTTGTTCTGTATATCCAATCCCTTTTCTGAACGTTTCAATTATTAAACATTTAATTATTTGATTTCATTTAATTTTCTGCTGTTAAAAATATAAATCGATTATTGGTGAAATCTAATAATTCGCTTAGGCCATCATGAGATTCAAGTTTATGTAATTGATTGTTGTAAATAACAATCCTCGTTCTTCAAAAATATAAGGATCGTCCTTCCTGAAAGTAGTAATTCCCCAAGTTAGAATATTCAAATCAAGAGATGTTGTGAACTTATTTAAAACTGTCACCTTCAAAATGGGGACATTAATACTACGTTACCCTACCCTAAAAGCTTTTTTCGTTAAACTAAAATTTTTTTTTCTTTTTTTCAAAAAAACAATTTCCTTAGAAAAATTAATTACTAAATATTTCCATTCCATTTTTTAAATTAAAATTTCTGACAAAGTAAAAACAAAATGACGTATACTTCAAGTTTTACTGAGCATGATATGAATGAATTGAATGAATTACAAAATAAAATGGTTCAATCTATTAGTCATTTTTCTGAGACTTGTAGGATTAGTATTAAGGATAATAACTTTCTTTTGAATTTAGTTAATCAAATTTCTGATCTAAGAGTGGAATTTCGAAAATTTGCTGAAGAATCTATAGCTCATAATCTTAACATGCTTACTTATGCTAAAGATTTAATTGTATTTGCCGAATGTTGTGAAGATGATGGTATCGATAAGGACGATTTGTTGAAATTATTAAGACCATTATTAAGCAATTCTAAGTTATATAAAGCCAAAGTTAAATTATTAAAGAACCAACTTAAAAGAATTAGTATTTCTTTATATGGGATTGTTAAAGAAATTTTCGAATATGATGAGAAATTTATCAGGGAACAAGAATCTTTATCCAATATAGTTTATATGATTATGTATATGAATGGTAATTTCATAAAAGGAGCATCATCAGCAGTGGTTCCTGCTGCAAAGGCTGTCGTTGGGCTTAGTCTTGTTATTCTTGGAAGGTAATTTTTAAAATTAGTTTTGAGTTATTTTTGGTTGCATAATTAACATAACCAGGATTAATTGCAGTGCAGCTGCAGTTACAGTTTCTACCGTAGTTGCTGAAAACGTTAAAGAACAATTCTCACAATACTTACGAGAAATGCGGAATGGTTTTTCTAATATTATATGTGGAACTATTATTTATTGCGAATCCTATTGGGAAAACAAAATTGAGGAAATTAAATGTTTTGCTGGGAAGTTAGAACTTTTGGAACAACGAATTTTAATACTTATTACTAGGAGTATTGTGTTGAAGGCAAAAAAAATTCTTGCAAATTCTGAAAGTTACAATGATCATATGCGACAAATTTTGAATAGAGATTCGATTCTAGCAGTAAGAATTTTATAAAAATTGTTTAAAATATTCAATATTCTGTCAAATATTTAATTATTTATTCACCAATCTTTTTTTTAAAAAAATAGTGATACGATAGTGGAAAAGGATGTAATGAAATAATATACGGTACCGTCCAATAAATAGTAATGATTTAACTTTATTTTCGGTTATTTATTTATTGACCTGTATGTGGCTATGTGCTTCTTTCCATTAATAACACCTTTCTAGAATTTAAGGTGCTAATAGTACTACCAAAGTCAAAAAAATAAATATATTATCAACATTTGGCTCGTTTAAGTATAGATAGATTATAAGATTCTATCAGATAGTCAGAACAATAGGGTTTGAATTTTTGAAGTTTAATATTTATTTTACATAAAACATGCATGATATAACAGTTACTTATCTATGTAGCAGATATCAAATATATCTTATTTGGGAAGCAATAACGTTTAATGGATACACAAAAGTGTTTATATGCAAAAAAAAACTTTTTGTAATGGGGTCGTTAATATGTTAGTACTTAATATTATGCCACCCTATCTTAAATTATGATCTCTTTAGGTATGGATGTGTGAAAAAAAAAGATTTCATTTCATAAAATGGGAATATCTTTTGCATTATGAAAAATAAAAACAAACAACACTTTAAAGAAACTATTCCTAAACATATACATTTTTTTAATTGAAATTTTTAACAAGATAATCAAAATGATGGACACTTCAAGTTTCACTGAGCATGATATGAATGAATTAAATAAATTACAAAATAAAATGGTTCAATCTATTAGTTATTTTTATGAAACTTGTAGGATTAATATTAAGGTTAACCAAATTTCTGATCTAAGAGTAAAATTTTGAAAATTTGCCAAAAAATCTTATAATCTTAACATGTATACTTATGCTGAAGATTTAATTGTATTTGCTGAAAATTGTAAAGATAAGAGTATTAATAAAAACAATCTGTAGGAATTATTAAGTCCATTATTAAGTAATTCTAAGTTATATAAATCCAAATCTAAATAAACTTGAAAGATTTAGTATTTCTTTATATGGAATTGTTAAGGAAATTTTCAAATATGATGAGAAATTTCATGAAGCTAAAAATGAGAATTTTTATTCAATATAGTTTATATAATAATGTAAAAGAAGCAACATTAACAGTAAATTCTGCTATAAAGACTGTCATTTGGACTTAATCCTATTATTTTTAAAAGATAATTTCTAAATAATTATTTTTGAGTTATTCAGAATTATATAATTAGGCTACCTGCTAACTCAGTTTGCTATCTCATCAACTCAAACAGATAATCAGACTGAATTCTGAAAATGTTTCAAATGTTTCAGATGTGACAAATCTGGAAAAGGTAAAATAAAACTTTTTTTTGAGATATATCCTCTCTACTTTTTATGAAATATTTGTTGCCACATTTACTACATCTGTTACAACCTTCTAATTATTACATCTGTTTTTGCTTTTTTTTTCTTAGTTTTTTGGTTTTTTGGTTATATATATATATTCCAGATATTATCTCAAATTGTGGCAGATATAAGGGGTATATTATGCTCTATAAAGATGATGTAGGTACTACGAGGTTTATAGCCAAAGTGGAAAAGCCTTGCAACTCTACTACAACAGGGCGGACATCCTCATATTATTACATTATTGCCAATCATTTTGCCGATCATCTATTTAATATTATCACATAAAAAATACCATTTTTTTGCAAATTTAACTATATAAATTTTATTTGTTATCAAAATTCATCCAAAATCCAAAAATTAATGTTTTCAAATCCAAAAATTAACTAAAACCCAAAAATGGGCTGAATTTTAATAATAATTAGATAATTAAATTATTTTAATGATATTATGACAACCAGTGATTAAAATTTAATTTTTGATAGTTTTTTAGATTCATCTCGTTAAGACAAACATTTTGATAGTAATTTCATAAAATTTTTACGCCAAATTGATTGAGAAATTGCATTTTGAAAATTTCTATTTATTATATAGATTATAACAAATATAATTGCAAGTATAAATTTAGCCATAGCTTCTTGATTACCTAAAATTAGGAATGATTACTTTGGCAGTTAATTTTAAATTAGTTAAACTATGGCCCATAAAAGTTTTAAGTTTCGGCCAAACTTCTGTGACTTCGGCCAAAGCTTTAAAGTCTGATATCACCCAATTTACTATAAGATCGGCAAATGATTAGCAAGGTAATATAAGGATGTCCGCCCTGTTCTCTACTACTAGCCTGATAATGGTTTGAAAATTCATTTTAGAGTAAACAGGATATTTCAAAAGTAAAAAAAAAAATTTTTTTTTTAAATTATTTTAGCAAAATGTACTAATTAATGTCTTAATTTTCTTTTTTTTAGGTTTAAGATCCATTTTGACAAAATTTTTTTTAATTTTATTTTAGCGAAATGTAATTAGTAATATTTTGAATTTTTTTATGTACAGCATTGTGGTAGGATCACAGAATTACACAAATCTCTATTTCACAGATATGTGCAATTTTAAACCCTAAAAAATTTGCTGAAGTTTGCAGAAATTTGTCTTCTTAAAATTTTACACAGTTTTATTAGATTTTTTTTTAAAGACTGCCGACAGAATCACAGGACCCTGCCTACTATTAAAATATGTTACTGGTAGAAATTTTACTTTCATATGAAACCTTACTTTAGGATTTACTTAAATTCTATTGGTTAATTGACTAAAAAGGAAAAAAAATCATAACAATGTAACATAAAATTTCCTTTTATAGTAGGATTTTCAAAAAGTTTTATATGTAAACCTTACCTTAGGCCACAGGGTGACCTATTTTAATAGTAAGTAGAATCTTAAAATCACAGATCTGCATAGTAATTAAAGCTCTGAACAGGTCAGTTTGGTGTGGATTTTTTCCGGTTCAGGTAAGAACTGAAACCAAATGAAAACTGAACTGAACCGAACAGTTCTGGTTCTAAAACCAAACTGAGAACTGAACCGAATTTTTAGTCAGTTTCGGATCAGTTTTCAGTTTAAACTGGAACTGTTTGGAGTTCTAATAATTTTATCATTTGCAAATCTGTGCAAATTTGCATCCCAAAAACTTTTCTGATATAATACATTTGCAAGTAATATACTGTATATTATCAATACTGTATTACTTTCGCATTTAGAATATAAACTTAAAATAATTATGTAAGAAGACAAGAAATATAGGAAATTTTTTAAACTAGTTATATAAATAATTAAACATAAAATATAATTTTCTAGTAACTGCCATCCCTATAAAAAATATGTATACGGTTTTTACACTGTATATACGTATTTTTGATACAGTTTGCATTTTTACATACGGCATATCAGTATAATGTATACTGTTC